TTTAGGCTAACAAAATTTTACTTTTTTTCGGGTAGGTGGACCAGGGACCGGTCTATTCGAAAAAATCTTATTATAGTCCGATGTGCTTAAAATTTAGTACGTAAGTAGCTTTTTAGCATATATAAGCATATGTGATCAATTTTTTCCGGGAAGTGGTCCAGGGACCGATCTATTCCAAAAAATCGCATTTATGGTCCGATTTGCTTAAAATTCGGCACGTAAGTAGTTTTTTAGCATATATTAGGATATATGGTCCATCTTTTCCGAGAAGTGGACCAGGGACTGATCTATTCGAAAAAAATCGTATTTACGGTCCGATTTGCTTAAAATTCGGTACGTAGGTAGCTTTTTGCCTGGATAAGCTTATAGATTCCTGTTTTCCAATTTTCATGCAATTTCGAATATAAATAGCTTTAAGTAACGACCATATCAAGGGGCGAATTCGTCACTAGGCAAGATTTTTTTGCGCCAATCTGAAACAACGGATACTGTCAAAATATAATTATAATATATAATATATCTCAACTAATATATATTTAGAAAGCCGTTTGTTAGTTTTCGCAAGCCTCGAGAGGGGCTAAACCGATTTTTTTGAAACTGCCACCTGCCGCACGTGTCCCAAGGGTGGTTTTAGGCTGAAAAAAATCTATATGTAAAGGGGGTGTGGCACTTCCCATACAAACCGAATTTCTCATGCTACATATCTCTGAAAGTGTGCATGGTAGAGTTTTGGAAATTGGTATGGAGATATACGAAATCATTCGCATACCCTTGGAGAAAGATTTAAGCTATTGTAAAAAGGGGTGTGACATCTCCCATACAAACCGAATTTTTCATACTGCTTATCTCTGGAAATTTTTTGGTAGAGTTCCGGAACTTGGTATGGAGATATACGAAATCAATCGCATACTCATGAAGAAAGAGGGCGGCTGTTGGAAAGGGGGGCGTGGCACCTCCCATATAAATCGAATTTCTATACTGCATATCTCTGAAAGTATTCATGGTACAGTACTGGAACTTCGTATGGAGATATGTATATAGTTGAAATCAAGCCCATACTCATGGAGAAAATTTAGGTTATTTGAAAAGGGGTGTGAGGCCTACAAACTTACCGACCTTTAGCTATCTTTGAATGAATTTTTTTATTCTTCTGTAGGTGTGTTTGTGAGTGAAATCCACCTAAATGGTTGTACGGATTTTAACGAAACTTTTTGTGTATTTGAGTGGGTCTCTGGATGGTTTAGTTTCACAATTTAATCCGACAGTTGGCGCTGTAGTTGAGTTATTACTAAAAATCTTATTTGTGATCCGATTTGGCTAATGTTTTAACTATATATGCAATACTATTGCAAAAACGTGCTTCCAAGTGGTGCTGAAGTCGAGCTATTACTAAAAATAGCCAAGTGAGAAAAGGGGACGTGAAGGTCAGATTAAATCGACCTGTTGCACCATTGAGTATATCGAACGCTCCTGCGTTGCAATTGGCCCAATGGATGTGATTTTCCAATATTATTATGCGTTCAAACTTTTAAGGTATTTCGTCTGAATTAAGTATATGTATATTGCATTTCTGTAGAACAATGATTCGCACCCATTTTGAAATTGCCACCTACTATACTGTAAAGCTTCTAGGACATTCACTATAGAACCGGGTCATTGTTGCCGCCCGGGAGTGAAGAGGAAAAAATGTATTTCGCTTTGCGAATCACCGTGCTATGAAATGCCGCACAACTGGAGAATTTCAAGAACGGATATAACACTTTCCTTAGGTTATTTAAAGCGGAAAATGACCACCAAACCTTAATCTTAGCAGACAAATGTGCCAATGAAAATCGTAAACGTGAATTGTTAGTGAAAATGCTGGACCAAAAAGTTTCAATAAAATATATAAAAATTTTGGGCGGGACGAAGTTCGCCGGGTCTGCTAGTGTATATATATATGGATATGCACGTTTTTATATATTATTATTTTTTCTACCGTTGGTGACCCTTCCTAATGATACTGAGTATGTATGCACATATATATGCAAATGTTATACAATAGTGACTTCTCACTTACCAGTATGAAAAAAATAAGAATAAGTTTTCGTTCATCATTTCAACAATTTTGAATGACGAATAAATTTTTATTTTTCATTCCAGCAGTTGCGAATGAGGAATAAATTTTTATTCATCATTCATGTAACTTCAAGTATATATCAGGGATGGGCGTAATCAGGAAAATGAATAATTGAATAAGAAAATAAGAAAAATAAGAATAAGTTTTAATTTATCATTTCAACAATTTTGAATGACGAATAAATTTTTATTCTTCATTCAAGCACTTGCGAATGAGGAATACATTTTTATTCATCATTCAAGTAACTTCAAATAACGAATAAATTTTTATTCTTCATTCAAGCGGGTACGTATGTCATCTGTTTTGCTCTCCTTTTCATTTCGGCCTATTAGCATGTCGCGAAGACAAATCGAATGTCGTTTGAAAGTATGTAGATATACGTCGCGCGGGTGAACAACAGCTATGCTTTTTTATAAAAAAAATTAGAGAATTTACAAGCCAAAAATTGTATATGTGAAATCTGACGTTAACTAAATTAAGGCAAAACGTGTAAATAGTTAAAATAAAACTACAAAAGTGCACAGGATATAATTATTTTTAGACCAAAAAATTTAAGTGCATAGCGAATGAACTCAAAATCAAAAATAAATGAAGTGTGAGGAATGTGGTGAAAATAAAACTAAGCTTAAAACAATTAAATTCAAATAAAGGGGTGGTGAAATAAAAAATAACAAAAATTCAACAATAATAATGTGCAAAAATGGGATAATAAGAAAAAAACCCAAAGATGTGCAAAAATAATAATTCTATAAAGTAATATACCAAAATAAACCAGGTGTGCTGCTGGAAACGCTGTTTGTTAGCGATGCGTGGCGTGGCGGAACTTCCGCATAAATTTTAACATTCGCATTCGCTTTCGCATTCGCAATAATCAATGCGGAGCTTTTGCGAATGCGAATATTGTGCAAGTGCCCCAAAAAATATATCAAAACACATTGAGCGCATGGAATGGAACAACAAAACAGATTTGATGGCTCACAGGCAAAATGCATTCAACAAAGTGTGATTGAATTTGACATTGCTCTCAGAAGAACCATCCTATAAAGTCAAATTGAAAAAATTTTGTATGAATTTTGAATCGATTGTTTATATTTTTTGGCATAATAGTACCTTAAAAGAGAGCCTAACTGAGTTGTCAATCACACCTTGTTTAATACACCTTGCTCACAGGCTAACCTAATATTCACGCACGCCGCCAATTTACTGTCAAAAATTTGCGTAAAAAGCTAACTCAATTTCCAATTTTTCATTTGCGTGACTTTTCTGTTTGAAGTTTGATCTCATTTGACGTCTGTTCTCATTTGACATTTGTTCTAGGGCTGGGATACTATTGATAGTACCGGCACTCGATAGTTTTAGAAACCATAGTTGAAAAAATCAATAATATCGATGGTACTATCGTTATTTAGCAGTAGTGAATTGGGCGCTAAATTTTTAGAAAATTGATAAAAAATTAATAAATTACTTTGTAAATGACATACATATATATATATATATATTTTTTTTTTTTTTAATTTGAATGAGTCAAAAGGAACTTTTTAAAATAAAAGAATAAACAACAAAGTTGATACTTCCTAAAGTCCCAATGACTCTTAATATTTGCGTTTTGCATACCTAAATAATTGGCACCGTTGAGCTAAAAAAAAGTGGGCGTGGTCCGCCTTTTTCCTGATTTTAATGAATACTTTCTTTGGTTCAAATTAACAGGGGCGGCGCTAGGGGCTAAACGTGGAATTGTCATCATTTTTAAAAGATTATATGTGTTCGAAAGGTAATTGAAAGGCCTTTCATTCGATATATATATATATATCTATATGCATATATAATATATACATACTTCGAGAAAAAGTAATAAACGAAACTATGGCAATTTTTTAATAAAAATTTATATTTTTCGTAAAAAATACAGAATTAACTATATTAAAAGATATGTTTATCAGAAACAGCATCAAAATACCTTCAATTTGACGAATAATTTTATATAGTTTTCATATAAAACGATACGTTAATATACAATGAAAATTTGGAATCAAAAAAAGCGGCGCTTTTGCCCCTTTCCTGATATAAAACGATATTTTAATATAAATTTAGTCAAATATTCTTACAAATCACATATAAAATTAAAGGTGTTTTTGTGGTCTCTGATAAATATATCTCTTGATATAGTTAATTACGTATTTTTATAAAAAAGGCCATAATTAAGATTTTTTAACTTTTTCTTAAAATATGTATATATTATATATTTTGGTACATATATCTAATGAAAGGTCTTTTAATTTCCATTTCAAACTGTGCCCATATATTGAAAATCTGTTCAATAGTTTTTGAAATATGAACTTTTAAAAATTTGTACAATTCCACGTTTAGCCTCCTCCCCCCCTCCCCCTTTTCACGGCCCTGTTATTTGCCCCCCCAAAAAAAATATGCCATTAAAATTAGGAAAAGGGCGGGTCACGCCCACTTTTTTTAGCTCAACGGCCCATATTCTTCAGGTGTTCCTTGTTTTTTGCTGACGGAGTTGTGAATTTTCTGCCATATAAAAAAATCCAATTTACCTAAAAAAAATTGTGATTTGCTGTAATGTATGAATTTTTAAAATTTCACTTTTACTTACAAATGCGTTTAGCCTCAAGCCATGAAGGTTTCTAAAAGTAGATATGTATTGGGTTTCGATAAAGACTGTCATTGATAATATTCAACAACTATCGATAGTGGCGACAGTTTTCAACTATCGATAGTATTCCAGCTCTAGTTTTTTCTCATTTGACGTTTGACTTCGTTGGTTTTTGGCGCGGATATGGAGGCAAGTATAGATCTTAAGTTTACTTCTATATATTTTATGGAAATAAAACCTTTATTTCTTTTCTTTTTACAGATTTGCAACGAGAAGTTAATAGAAGCTGTGCGTGAGCATGAGTGCCTCTATTTAAAAAAGCACAAAGCCTACAAAAATAAGGCGCTTAAAGAAGCCGCTTGGACCGAAATAGCCATACTATTAGAAAATACTCGTAAGTTATTTTATCGTTGATTTATATGCGTATGTACAAAAATGTGTTAATAAGCATTTTATTTTTGCGAGCCTACAATTGTAAGACGAGGTGGCGTTCCTTATGCGACCGCAACAGAAGAGAAATTGTGGAAGGCGCTAATCCCTCTGGCAGTGGCAGCAGCTTTCGTAAGCCATGGAAGCTGAAGGACGTTATGTCGTTCGACTCCATGGAAGCGGAATGGTGGGTCCAATGCGAATTAATATCGCATAAACAATTAGCATGTATTTATTTTGCTTTTTATTGTTCATTTTTAGTACAACATCAAACGTTGAATATTTAGAAGAAACAGAAGAGACCGAAGAGGCCCAAATACCGCAGCGAGATGCGGCCAAGAAGCGTAAGATGGACGACTTCTTTGAGGACGTATTGGTACGCATGAAGACCAAGTATGATGGCGAATCAACAAATACCTCAGACGAGGACAGTTTTTTTACTTTGCTGCGAGCAAAATTTATCCGTCTGTCTGCAGAAGAGGTAGACGAACTGCAGGCAGATATTTTGGTACTTGTATCACAAAAAATAAGAAATAAATAAAAAGTGAGCTAAAATAATTGTTCATTTATTTGTGTGTTTGTGCTAGAAGGTGTCACTCAAGTCATGTTAAGGAATTCGCATAGTAGTGTTCTGTTTTGCAATGCTTGTTGAGTTGCGGCGTTTGCAGTTTGCAAATTATTGCGATCAACGCTTCTCAAATTTGCAAACGATTCGTTTTCAGATTCCTCGTTAGAAGTTTGTAGGCGTAAAAAATTATGTAGAACAATTGCAGCTGGGTAGAAAATGTTAAAAAGTGATGGCTTCCAATATTTCTTTTCTACCTTCTTAGCATTGTGTGGCATGAAGTGTATGGGTTTATGAAAAATTCTCCACTTTGTTGTTAGAATACCTAGAAAACTTGGAAGTCTATTAAACATGCACACATAGTATATTAAGTAAATTTTATTTGGGGTACTGTTTAGTTATTTGTGCAACGAATTTGGGTTGCTGGGCCCAAACGCGATACCCGAATCAAAAAACTTTTACTTCTTCTTTATTTAAAAAACAATAATATATCTGTGCACTAACTTATTAATCATTTCGGTTATAATCGGGTTACAATTCCTTTGCAAAAAAATCCGAATTTCCCCTATTTTCAAACAGCTCTCAAGACCTTGATCCCCTTGGGGGATAAGGTGGAAAGGGGTAAGTTTTCATAAAGCGCGGTCCATCGTCTTTTGTATAAAGGGGGTTTGGGGGACCACGGCGGCTCCTCCTTCCCACCCTATCCCAAAATCGTTGTACAAATAACTAAACATTTCCCTTTATTGGCATATGTTTGCTTACCAAAAGCAATTTCAATGCGTATATGTGCTCGAGATATATATGTATTATATCGTTGTTTTTCCGCGGTGATATCTCTTGCAAAAGGCTTCATAATATTAGGTTTAAGTGGAAATGCAGCATCTGCTACCAAATAATATGGAAAAGGAGTTTCAGTTGAAGGAAATTTGTAGGTGGTGGAACATTTAACTCATTATTAAAGAACTTTTTGCCGGATGAAGAGTTCTTAAAAACCCCACCATCGCTCTGGCTGCCATAAGCGCCGACATCAACTAATGTGAAAGAGTAATTGCTATCGCAAACTGCCAACAAAACCTTTTAAAAAGCGTAAAAGTGAATGTTTTAGATTCTTCATACATAAGTATATTGTTAGTAATTATAAGAGTGACTTACGACGCTGAAGTATTTTTTATAGTTGAAATGTAAGGAACCGCTGTTTTTAGGGCACACAATGCGGATGTGCTTCTCGTCCAATGCTTCTATACAATTGGGCAAACCGGTATCGTTTGAGAATCCGCGAGCGACTCGTTTCCACTCCTCTTCGTTGGGAATACTCACATAAAACTCAGATAAGTGCTTCCAGATCATATCGCAGGTTTCCAAGATTACGTTTCTGGCCGTTTCGAGGCCAATGCGGAACTGAACGGAGATGTAAGGAGCAGCCTTGTGCAAGAAAACTTAACAAAACATTGTCTTAATTTTTATCAATATAAACATAAAAATGAACTTACAACAAGGTGATAAAAGACCGTTGCTCGGGGTCAACTGCTGGCCTGCGTGACCTTTTTTTAAAAATGGACTTATCAACGTTTTAACGTTAAATGAGTCGTACGTCATCCTAACTGATTTATAAAATAGATCTGGATTTTAAGAAATTAATATTTCAAACCCAGTGACCTGGAACCCGAATTCGTCTCGAGTTTTAAATAGTTCTATATGTCCACTTCGCCGGTGCCGTCTGTTGTACATCGCCCACAAAATTGCAAGATTTTCAATATCTTCTGAAACATTCATTTTAAATCGTTACAATTTTACTTTTAAATTCTGAAGAAATTGTTTGTTTACATATTTGACAGCAATGCAACTCTGCGATGTATACGCACGCAAGCCAATTTCAGTTGACGCAAAGAAACAAATTAGACGGCGTGCGTATTAAAACACAAGCCGCGAATATTAGGTTAGCCTTTCATGGTACCGACAGCGGTGAGTAATTAATTGTGACTGCCTGAAACTAGGAAAAGCCAAGATCAGCTAACTAAAAAAAAAAAATTAGTTACAAGTTGTTCATTACAGGTGAACCTTTCCATGAGGTCACCCGGGAGTTAAGCAAATCTGAGACCTTTATCGTCCGTGATTCCAATAATTGAAATTATTATAAAAAACGGGGTACCTTTTTAACAAAATAACAACATTTTAAACTAATTCTGCTGGCAGCCACGGCTTTCAAAACAGAATTTTCTTCGAAATTTTCATTCCTACAAAATAACAATTTATTAGCCATATCCATCTATTTACAACGTCGAGACGCTATAAGCACACATTTTTCAAACCAGTCACAGATGACAGGATTAAAGATGAGTTACAAAAACTAAAATCGAAAAACGCTGATGTCGTAACAGGTTCTCCAAATTCTGAAACAACCAAAAGAATTGGTTCTCCAAATTGGAACACAACGGTGTTTAAACAGCGATGCAATTCTCTAATTATTGAACTGCAAAAAAAAAGAACTGAAATCCTCTCAACTGGTGCAGCGTCAATCGAAAAGAATTTACAATTTTGTAAACTTTCAAGTTTTTCAAGTTTGTCGCCTCGAGCGAGTAGTTATTTAATGGCGCAAGTTTGATTTACGACCCGTTAGGAAACAGGCTGTAACCCGAAAAAGCAGCAAAATACAATGTTCCAATTTTTTAATTTAAGTACTAAATAAAATAAATATTAAAAATTACTAAATTTTCCTTTTTTTTACCTAAATCACCTAATGTACTCACCAAAAAATATTTCTTAAAATACAGTGAAAGGTCGCATAGACGGACGTTCTAATAAGCGGACACATTCTTGGGAACGGACAGTTTTTGGTTTTTTTTCCATACAAAATGCTCTCCCATACACGGAGTTTCCGATAAACGGACGCGGACACTCAAAAATGTCCAGTTATGAAAAAAACTCTCCCATAAGCGGATGCGACGCTCTAACAAGCGGTCAATTTTGTTTTGTTTTTCAGTCAAATGTTGTCTCTTGCGCTTCTACATATGTATATGTACACAAGAACAAAGCCCATATTCAAAAATATTTTCTTTTTTAGAAAAAGTATTGCTTTTTCGTTGCCAATGGGCAATGAGATTTGTCGGTAGGAAAGAAAACGCAATAAATGTGAACTTATTTTTAATTCACCCTGTTTCTGTCTATTGAAGAATAAATATTACTTTAATTTAGAAACCCGCAATTTAAATTTTTTAAGTATGAATTTTTATTTTATTTTTTACGAAATTCCTATAAGCGGACATCTCTCATAGGCGGACAAAAAAGGTGCCCATCGGTGCCTGCATATTGGAGCTTTCACCGTATTTGACATCCGCATTCAGCCGTATATATGTATGTGATACTGGGATGTAGATGTGACAGCAACATACATACATACAGTTGTTCCCACAGTATTGTTTCCTATGCTGCTGGCGTCGGCGCAGAAAATCAAATAATATACCAAATTTACAATGGGATATGTTTGTTTATATGTAATTCAGAAAGTACACTCCCTCTAGGAATAGTAACACCACTGTCATTTTAAACTTATTTATAAATTATTGTAAGTTTGTATACATGTACAAATGTACATATTGTACTTGAATTTACATACAGGTTCTTTTTCTAAGATTGATGTGAGATTCGTACGTTTTACCTTGCTGAATACCCAGTAAGAAATTGTATGGGCACACTCCCCTGTATGTACATATAATCCAAAGTGTGAATACATATGTACACAGTTTCATCTATCAGGAAACGATAAAAAACAATAATCCCCAATTAAGTTTGTGCGGATTTATACTAACTAACTAAAGTAAACTCATGTAATTCCTTACACAAACTACACTTTCGTGCGATAAAAGTGCATTGATACTCTAGGCGTAATTTTGCAGGTACAGCTTTTTTGTGATTTGCGTTGCTTATAGAGGCATCAATATTTTTAATTTATTATATGAAGATACTTCACAAGTTTAGCTTTTAAATCTTTAACTTAAACGGATTCAATCATGCCCATTGATATCTCATTAACTTCGAAGTTCATATTCGTGGCAAAATACCTTATAAACTTCTGCTCCTACTTCGAAAAAGCTAATCTGAAGGATCATACATGTACTCTACTTGAAGTAAAGTTACAAGACCTCCAATCCCGTTGGGAAACTTTAGGAATCTCGTATGAAAAAATACATACTGATGAAAAAAATTACATTTTCGTTGTTGGTGTTTCCGACAGGGTAGGAGTGTCATGTAATGTGGAACGATTTTCCGTCATCCCTTGTCAAATTTGGTTTGGAGACAAACCGGTTTCGGCGTTGTGCCATCTTCAGTGTCATTTTTCGTTCTGAATAGTTTCTGTTCGTCTGTCACTATTTATAGCCGTGTTAAATCGTCGTTGGTTCATAGTTAGGTACGTCTCAGCGGATTATATTCTTTTGTTCAACCAGTAGTTTCAGTTCTGTGTGTACATCCTCAGGTAGAAATTAGTTGCTCACCTCTTTTTTGATTAATTGCTGCATGGATTCGCAGGTAGGTAAAAATCACTAATTTCTACCTGAGGATGTACACACAGAACTGAAACTACTGGTTGAACGAAAGAATATAATCCGCTGAGACGTACCTAAATATGAACCAACGACGATTTAACACGGCTATAAATAGTAACAGACAAACAGAAACTATTCAGAACGAAAAATGACACTGAAGATGGCACAACGCCGAAACCGGTTTGTCTCCAAACCAAATTTGATAAGGGATGACGGAAAATCGTTCCACATTACATCAAAAAAATTTCACTTCATCGAAAATTAAAAAAAAGAAGTCCACACCCAATTCCAGTTGTGTACAAATAGCTTCCAGATTTGCAAATCTAAACTTCTCCACCAGCTTAAGCTGTTATAGTGCACCTCAAGCTACATTATTAATGCAACAATAAATAATTTTACATAACATATTACAATTTCAAATCGATCTTATTCCCAAG